CTGGGCCAGCCCCAGCCATCTCCATGGTTCTCGTTCCCCTCACCATGCTTGATTGTGCGGCGCTCTCTGGCTCACCCCAGAACCTGCTTGTGATAAATACCAGCACAGTGTCCAGAGCACCTTGCTCTGAGTTCAGAAAGTAATCATCATAAAAAGTGAAAACGTAACAAATAGATGGGAAATATGTTTAAGGTGTCAAAATCTGCTGATTCATTGTTCACAGAGGTAAACATGGAACAAGCCTCTAGGGTGACTAATACCATTCATATCCTAGAACAGCAAAAATCCAGTTCCAGCTATAGGAACAATCAGTACTTGGGGTTCAAGAAAGGACTTTAAACAATAATCATTTATCATGGATTCTAGTGTGCTTTTGCTCTGAAGTACCCAAAAAAGTAATATGAATTAAAAAGTAGTACTGTCAAGCCTGCAGTGGGTAGTGCAGAGAATGATTGGGTTGTCTTCATATCTACAGCTTGGGGCTTCATCATTGTAGCATGTTGTCTTACACAGTTCAGAAGAATTTCATCAATGTAATACATTAAAGTCATTTTCTTACACTGTCACAATGCTTACGGAAATGTCAAGTCCTTTTGCTAGGGAAGGTGTTATAAATCGATTAAATATATTTGGAAGGTTTTGATATTAAGTAGCCAGTTTGATTTCCATCTTTAGCTTATTTGTAATAGTCTGTGCATGTTTCCCCAGTGGATGGTGTCACTTCTGAGCTTCTGTACTGTACTATACATTCAGTTATAGCTCAGAAAAAGTTGTAGACCAGAGCATTATGAAGATTGATGTAAAAAAAACTTTTAAAATTTTAAACTATTTCATCTTTTTGTTTAATATATTATGAAAAAAAATATTAAAAATTGATACATTTTGCAAATCACCTAATTGTGGATATCCAGACATAACGAACATAAGTTTCTTACTGATATAACATTTCATAAATAGTCAGCAACCTGGGTCATATGAGGATATATAATGATAATTTGACCACCTCTGTCACTTGCATCATATGACCAAATGACAGTTAGAAGTAAATTACAGTTATGTAGATACAGTTTATTCTCTAAAAACAAAAGAGTACAGTCTTTCATAAAACCTACTGTGTAGGGTATAAATGGTTGCCTTCATGATCTGACTAACATGCTTCTAGGCACCTGGAATTAGCCTGTAGTGCTTGTTAGATATCTGTAACAAAATGTATAGAAAGTGGTGTCTTATTTCCATGGGGTTTTTTTCTCAAAGTAGGACAGATGGAGGGAGCATTTAAAATTGTGATACTGAAGATTCCCACCCGACTGAAAGCAAATTCCAAGGGCATGAAGGTATTATCTTCAGAAGTCCTAGAGACCTCAAGGTACTTCTGAACCTAGGGAAGCATTTCAATCCCATATCTCTTGAGATGATGATATAACTATTCATCTTATGAGAAGGAAAACCAGGAGAAATAATTCTAGGAGAGAATATAAGATTTAATTGCCCTGCAGATATTTTTCTTGCTATAAGCAGCTAAGAATTCTATTCCTGCTGTCACAGTGCATCTTGGATTACTTTCCCTACAATGATGCAAATTCATGTGATTATAGAGGACTGCCATTGACCTCATGCCTTTTACATCCCATAAATATAGCCCTGTAGCCCAGGAATACAGTTCTACCACAGATAACAAGAAGGCCCAGGTTTTGTGCTGAGTTGACAGAGTCTTAGGATGGAGACAGATTTGCTCAATCTGAATTTGTGACCTGCCTGGAGCTTTGTTTTCACTTGGGTTATCTGTAACAGCAATTTGTCTAATGACCAGGTGGTTGTGGCTGATTCATTTCACTTTTACTTACACTAGTATGGTAGAACTATCTTTTTTTTACACATACTTAGTAGCAAAAAGTAGCTGTTATGTGTAGAATAAGATGGTTTTGACTATACAGTAATGACATAGTACATTACATTAGTCATGCAAGTACCGTGATACAGCACTGGTATGACAGCAGAGTCCTTGAGAAGTAGCAATAGAGAATGTGGTGTGCAGGACTACAGGCATGAGATGGTAAGAGATGAAGTCCAAGCAGACATCAGAGACCCCATGGCTAAAAAAAACCCTCCTCAGTGTTCAGTTGAAGAAATGGAGATGAGAAGTTGGACAAAAACATTTTTATGGTTTACACAGAAAGTAGAGTAAAACATGTAAACCAAGATGCATATGGTAAAATAAAAGTTAATGTGGACTTGTAAATAATGAGAAATATTAAAGTCTAAAAAGCACATTAACAGACATAAAAGAACCCCTCCAAGCATATCCCAATGTGAGGAAGAAGAATCCACCAACATCATACCCCTCTTAGTGAGGTATTTGGGATACTAGGGACTCTTGCAGTCACTCTCTCCATACACTCCCTCTTCACTGTACTGAAGCTATCCACATGAGAACCATGGGCAGCTATGAAAAGGTGAGCATAATTCTTGGAAAAAAGATTAGAAAAAAGAAGTATGAGACTAGAAATGTGAACCATATTATCGGTTTTGATATTTTTCCCCTGTTTAATTTTAGTCTTTTTTTTCCTTTTTCTTTTTCTATAATTAGATGCTGACTAATAAATCTTTTTTCTTAGACTGTTGATTTCCATCATGTTAAAATAAACTCTTGGCTTTGCAAAGGTGTGATTTCTATTTTTGACTGTGACCAGATTTTTTGTGAAATGTAATAACAAAATAAAAATGGTTATGTTGGGGAAGATGTTGTTTTGGTATCCTTAGGCAAAGAAGAAAACTACATCCTTGATGCTGCGATTCTGAACAGATTTTGTAATCTTTTTGTGCAGACAAGAATTCAGGCAAGGCCTGTGTTACTGGTAGGAAATGTTTGCTGGTTCTGAGTCCAAGCAGAATACCTGGTTCATAGTAAAATAACTATACTTTACTCCAAGACAGACTGCCACACTCATATCCCCATTGGGAATGGTACATGTCATGTATATGCCCTGAAATGTGCCCAGGATTTGCTGTGAAAACGCCAGCTGGCACAAGGGAAAACACTGAAAAGAAGTGTCAATTAAATTAATTACCTAGTGTAGATAATTACAGAACAATTCTTGAGCTCATATTTTAACCCTTTTTTATTTATATTGTATATAAACTAACACATCTCTCTCAACATTAATTCTTGCCCAGCTCTAAGTAGCTGCATGAATTAGAGCTTGAGATTGTATTTTGAGACAACTAACTCTCTAAGAAATTTTTCTGTTTCACTGGTTTTCGATTAAAAAAACCACCTGTTTTTTAGGAATATAAGATTTCTATTGTTATTTTATACATTCATTTTCTTTTTTTAAAGGAGAAATAATGTCTGGTTTATTATTTTTGAAAAATCACATTTCACTCACCCTATAACAAATTCAGAAGCACAAAGAAGCTGCAGATTAATTAGGGTTAAAAAAGACTGAAAAATTAACCTTAATTAGAAGAAGAGGATTATTCTGTATTTTAAAATTTATACACCTTCACAAAGACAAAGCTTTACAGTCTTATAATACTCAAAGATGTGTTCCAAATTTTAGCATTCTTGTAGGTCAGAATAAATGTTTAGTGATTATGGAGTAGATGGGTAATTTAAAGTTCACTTATTTACTGGTCTGGATTTATAAAAAATTTCTCTGAAATTTACTTTCTCCATTTCTTTTCATATATTTAAATATGCATCATATATATGTAATATATAGAGTATTTTTATAAGATTTAACATCTTTCTAGTCCTGCTATCTATGTTTGTTATTGATACTAATTATACTTCCATCACTTTTTGTCCACAGGGAACAATTATTGTACAATCAGACAAATGTTGAGTGATTAAAGATTTATATGGAACAAATGTTAATAAAGTGAATATCAATAGTTTTGGGCTATAAATAGGAGCTGATGAAAAGTGAGAAATTCTGATTCAGCAACTACCACTAGAATAATGTCTTAAACATGATGGAGGCACATCTATACAACTGGATTTTTCTATTTTCTACTCAATGAGTTGGTATAAACGAGTTTTGTGGGTTACCAGAGGAGTGACTCTTTAGTGCTGCATAATCATTACTGGGTTTTCTGTTCTATCTTCACATCTGACTCTTCAGATAGAAATTTCTGTTAAGGAGTTTCCATGACATGTTGAACCCAAAATAACTAACTGCAGTTCAATATTCCCCAGGTAGATCAGGATAGCATGTTTTTCCCAGCCTTCCTTGCAACCTATTTTCCTGCAAGATATAATTTTTAGCTTGATTTTTTTTTCCCACATTTTTCATCAAAAATCCTCTAGTGGTTTGATCCTACAGTCAATTGAAACAGTCTTTGGTGACTCAAGAACATAAATTTTCTTAACAAAATACTATAGGATATTCACACATATTTATGCTAAAATCATAAAACTGAAACAGATACAGATTCCTGAGAAAGTCAAGAGACACTGTTCCACCCTAAAAGTTACACAAACTGCTAAGAAATAAAGAGAGAAATGAAAAAATTCCTTCCATCACAAAAACTGAGTTCTATAGAGTCAGGATTAGATACTTCCTTAGTGTTTCAGATAAGTTTTCTAGAAAGTTGTACATGTCTTGGCCACAGGCAATGATACATCACAAGTGAATCTTTAGTAACAACTCAGTCAGTATGAAGTTGCTTTTATAACCAACAGGTATTATAAAACCTTTGTCAAAGATGACCTCTAATGAAGGATAGAAAAAAAGCAGTTATTTAAAAAAAACTGTAAGGAAAACTTCTGTAAGGAGTTCTATTGATGTTTTACTCTCCAAGTGAGTTTTTTTGTACTATAGGTTACAAACACATTATTATATTAAAAAAAAATACAATCAGCAAGGGATTTTAATAAAAGTAAACCCTGAAAAAAAAAAAACAACTAATATTCATTTTTTTATAGTATTTATATATTTTTAATTTATTTTTATTCATCTTGAAGAAAAGTGTCATTATTGTTTCCTTTTATATTTCAGGAAGACTATTTTCTTACATAGAAAAAGATTAAAATACTGAAAAAAAGGCCAGTCATGTCATGTCGTCTTATGTAAGAGAAACACAGACAGTTTGAATAACATAAACTGCCTCAATGCCTTATAATTTTGAAATAACTTGGGTTGCCCTAAAGCATATCATAGACCTTAATAAAGAATAAGCCTTTATGATTGTTTCAATTGGTTGCTTTTTAGCAGAGGAAAATGAGAAATCATTATGTGCACTAGTAGAACCTTTCTTTTAAGTGACAGTCCAGTTTAGTTCATATCACCTTATGTGAGTTATAACAAATAAGGAAACTGAGGACAGATTCCTAGGGATAATGAAGCAGTGTAGGTCTTGGGAAAACTCTCTTCAGTGAAACACTGATGACATTGTTCATAACAAAACTACCTCAGCATGACAGAACTAATTAGTGACCATCTGAACTTACTTAGCCTAACGAAAAAAGCAATTAAAAATGCCGTCATCACTGAATCTACCACTGAACAGCTGGTTATATTGATAAGCAATACAGCAAGTTAAAGCTACTTTGGAACACAATGGAACTTAATCAACTTGCTAAGTAGTAATTAGAAAGCAATGAGAGAATATGAGATTACTGTTGAGAAACTGTTATTATGATGCAAACAACTTTCAAAATTCAGCTTGATTCCCCACCTCCCTCCCCCGAAAATTTTTAAATAAGGAAAATGGGTAAGAATTTAAATTTCTGAAGAGTGAAACTCATAAAACCCCTAGAAGGTTTTCACCTATTATTAGTTTGCCTGTGATCTGAAGAGGTTTATGGAGTGCAAAATGCGTGACAGCATGTATCTTGCTTAGCCTTTGCAGTCAGGTTGACTACTGAAATACACTGGAGCAAAGAATTCAGAAGTTCTACCTTTCTTATGCATTGTCTTTAAAAAAGAAATCAGAAAAAACTAGCAAACAAACAAATCTTCCTTCATATTTTGAAAAGGAATGAAAAAATTACAATAAAATGAGGAAATAAATAGTTCATTAAGTGATATTTAAAGATTTTTTTGTATTTATTGAAACTAATTTATATTGTTAAAATACAAAAAATAGAAGTTACACAAGCATTTTGGGAGGGTTTTTATAGGTGAGAGACTTGAAAAAACAAACAATATAAAAGCTTAACAGCCATTGTTTTTAAGGGGGCATATAATAAATACATTATTTTTTCTAGGTTTTCTTAGTGGTAGCGCATACTCAAATATACAGCCATGATAATTCTCTCCAGCATGTCAGTCCTTCATTTTCTCTTGTAAATTTGAATTAAATATTTGTGCCTTAGTAAAAGGTGCACTGATTTATATCAAGAGCTCTAATCAAAACATATTCTTCTGAAAAGGTGTTGAAAAATGTTATGCAATATTTGAATGAATCCTAAGGCTGGATTTCCTAAAATATTCTGCACAGTTTGGTTTCCATGCCTAGGGACACCATTTGACAAAATACTTACCATTTATTTGAGTCAATCCATAATCAAGGGAAAATTAATGTTAAATATACGCTTAAATACTAAACAAAATGTTTCTTTCCAGTATACTGGATGAGCAATTCAATGCTAATTGCAGGGAACTGTATTGGAACTTAGTAGGTTATGGCTCAGTTACCTATTCTACAAAATTACTATTTGTTTCCTGTCTATGTTTAACTGCTTCTTTTATGATGTCCTCTCATTAGCTCCAGACTGACAAACCATTGCCTGATTCTGACTGATTTCTACCTTTAGGAAACACAATAATTTGTGAGTAGTATCATGGCTTTTACCCATCATGCTGGTTTTGAGCCCCTGAAGATTTGAGCCCCTCAAGACAAGAATAAAACTTTGCAATTTTCTTTTAGTTGTTAATCAGTAGCTGTAGCTGGACAGCTATAGCAATTGAATTGTGAATGCTTGGCTAATCTTAGGAGAAAAGAAGACAATCCCAAGACAAATGGGCTGTCTGGATGATAGCCAGCCGGAGTGAAGTCAGCAGAACTGAGCAGTAACTGGAGGAAAGATAATTCCAGCAGCGGGCGATCATGACCACTAACTCACTTGCCACCTACTCAAAATGGACCCCAGACTCAAACTGAGGGGAAAACTGTGCATCAAACTAATTAGCATGAGAAGCAAGAGGTATAACTAGTAAATAGGGATTTGAGAAAAAGCTATGTAATCTGTAACCAATGAATGCTGATGCCTTTGTTTGTGCCAGGCTTTTGTGAGTTACAACCCAGCTGTCTACTTTGTGCAAGTTAGAATAAAAAACAGAAATACTTTGCCATAGCATGTGAATTGGCTCTGTTCACCAGGTAATGAGCCCATGTTTGGAACAACCATGCTAATACAAGAAAATCCAAGCTGGACAAATCCTGTAGAGTATCTACTTAAATGACGACCTCAGAATCACAGAATATTCTGAGTTGAGGATCATTGAGTCCAACTCTTAAGTGAATGACCCATACAGGGATCAAACCGGCAATTTTGGAGTTATTAGCACCAAGTTCTAACCGTGTGAATGATAACAGTATTAGTATTACCTTACACCTTTTTAGGGAGTTCGTATCTCAAAAAAAACCAAACCAACGACCCAAACCAAAAAACAAACAAACAAACAAAACAAAACAAAAAAAAGAAGGACCAGAAAAGAAGGGTCTCTGAGCAGCTGCTTAGTTACAAGGTTTGTTAGATGCAGAGAATGCTGCCACAATCTTTAGAAAATAGCAATTTTTTCAGCTTACCATACAGATAAACCGTAACCTTGAACAGAACTCTGTCCTTCTCCTCTCAAATTAACAATTAGTCTTTTCTGACTTTCCCATAACTGATAAGAATATCCATAAGTAGTTCTTCTCTAAGCTAGTTCTCGGAAGATAGGTAAACCTGCTTTCTAGACAAACAAAGAATTCATATGGTCCAAAGACTCTATAGTTCTGATTAAATTTCCCCATATTATTTAACCAGTTTCCTTTTACACCAGCTAAACTATATTTTGGGCACATATTCATTGCACTTGTGGCCCAACTTGCTTAGTCTACATTTCTGAGTCTTTTCTTCTGCTCTTTCTTCTCTGCAGTGTTCTTTCTCTTCATTCTCCTCAGCAGGTCCAACATGCATTTTACATGGCACAACTCCATTTTGCAGAAAGACAAAAGCCACGTAGCTACTCCTTCAGGTCCTATCAACCCTCACAAGGCAGGGGAACAGTCAGATGCAGAAAGACTGTGTGGAAAGCTTAGGTACAATGTGCTTTCTCTTAGATTATCAGTCTAAAGCTTTGATGCCTGGTATTGGAGGAGACAGGGCACTCATTACAGTTTAGTAGAGGCCAACAGGGCAATTATCTCAATTTAATACAAAGTAATGGACTTTGACTCTCTCGCTAACATTAGCCAGACATATCTAGAGCAGTAGGATAAATTCCCTGGCAAGCAATAGGGAGAGGGATGAGACAGGAAAGAAAGTGGAAGAGCAATAATCAACATCTTGAGGACAAAAGATACGTGTAATTCTTATCACTCTCAGGAATCCACTTTTTGCAGAATCAAATCACAAAAAGGATTTTTTTAATACAGTAATGGATAAATTAATATATCAGCTGGGTTGCCTATATAGATTTAAAAAATCATAAAAAATAAAATATAGTGAAATAATTTTTTTAATTCATTATATGCAAATGCTATATAAATTAAATTGTTTAGTTCTAGAGGTCTAGAGGTCTGTCACATAGTTTTGGTAAAATTGCTTTGTTTTTCAGAATGTCCCCTGTAAATGTTTATTTATATGTTGACTTTTTCTCTGACATTGAACGATTCATATTTTCAAGGGTGTTTCTATTGTTGAACTTGGTTTAGCTTCTGTTGGTGTTCCTCTGCCTCCATTTATATTATGAAGATATTAGAAGAATTATAATCAGATTTCTTTTTCCTAGATAAAAAGAAATGTAACAATAGCAATAATTCAGTTTCATCTTTCAACTACAGTTTTCAGGTTACACCAAACTGTAATCTGAAAATAATTTGAAGGAAATACCTTGCGCTAATTTTATTGCAATTGGATTGAGTTTATTTTCGTATGACTTAATGTCTCAGTTTGTTAATTATTTATATGTAAAACTGTATGGTATTTTGTCTCATTGAGAAAAGGAAAACAGCTCATATTCCTCTTATGGGTTTAAGGGTTGTATGGATTCTCTTTCACCTATTCCTTAAATAGAATAGATTCTTTTTTTTGTCCCTGTATGGGGGACTTCCTTCTTCCAAATATTTCACACAAAGAAAGTCAAAAGTAGCATATTAACTATTTCTGGACTGGTCTTACTGATGCTGCTTGACGTTAAGCTAATAACGTAATAATAGTACTTGGCTGTTGATGGCACTTCGGTAGAAAGCCTGTTCTTTTTAGTGACTTCTATTTAATTTACTTTCCATTGTGTTCAACATTTACCAAAGGTTAATAACTAAAAAAGAAATAGTCATAGTAATAATTATAATCATAGTAATTAGTTGATGTTAGTATTGTAATTAATTTTAACTGAACTCTTGCCTAGGAAGTCCAGTTACCGATTAAGAATCCATTATTTTGTATATAAAACTGACATGGGGAAAGAGTGATCTCTGCTATAAAAAGTTCTATGTGTAGTACAGAAGAAAGTAAATAAGAGAAAAAAGACATAAGAATGAATACTGATGCTAATATGTTATATACTTCCTTCCGGTTGCTGATTTTATAATTCTAGAAACAATACTTTTGAAGTAAAATTCAATATTTTTACTATAATCCAATATTTATAAGAAAGATTTAACAAGAAACTAATAAGATATTATAGAAAACTACATCTTATAGGACCACCCTATACTTATTCTCTTAGGATAAATATATTTCAAATCCAGTCCTGAATGAAGATCATACAACGATGAGAAAAATGTGAGAATTGGGGGAAAAAAAAAAAAAGGGAGAAAATTATCTATTCTGCAAGATAACTCTACAGTTTCTATGTTTAAAAATATGTTTTACTGTTCAAGTTAGTGTTCTATATTGGAAACTTTGAAAACTATTTTAAATACTATTGTTAAAAATTTGTGAGAATTTCTAGTCTTTGGAATGGATAATATTTCCTTCAATAAAAATCAGTCAGTTAACACAAAAGTTCTTAAACCATCTGGGAGAAGAAACAGTATAACATGACTTGGAAAATCAATGTGATATTGTATATAATGAATGCAAATCAAAAAACATCCTTTCCATTGAAATACAAGTGACAAACACATTCAAAGGCATTTTTATGGGTTATTACTGACTCAGAAATTATAAAATGCAGAACAAATCATTGTGGCAATTCTACTCCTTTTCAATAAGCTGTTGTCTATGTCCAAACTGTTGTCAAAGTAATACAAGACAAAAGGTTTGCAAGATGAGAAAAGAGTTTGAAGTCCTGTGGTGACAGATTTTCTAGTAAAATATATTATATTCAGTATGCAAAATAGTTGGGTTTGTTCATCTGAAAGACATCAAAGGTTCCTGAAATTTATATATCTGAGAAATATAAGTTACCACATGAATATTTTTTATTCTGTTTTCTTTGACACAGTGTTAAAAGAATACAGTTCTTACATTCTTGGAAGAATAAAAATTACTAGGAAAATATATCAAATACTATAAAATAGTATACTCACGGTGTAAATATATGTTAATTGATATAATTATTTTGGTAATTTTGGTAATCTATCTGTTGTGGAAAATGCAGATGACTGGGAGAGATATGAAGCTTGGAGAAGAATATATAATCCCTGATAAGGACTTTTACTACCAAAGATGAGCATCAAACACCGAAAAAGACACTATATCAAATGGACAGTTCACCCCTGTTATCCCCAGTTGCCCCCAGTTTGTGTTTATACAGTTCTG